TTTTAATTTTTCCTATTCCATCATCTCTCACTTAAATTCATTGAACCAAAAAAAAAAAAAAAAAATAATAATAATAATCATAATAATAATCACCAATAATAATAATAATAATCAAAATATAATTTTTATTCTAATCAAGTTTGCCCAAAATTAGAAAAAAAAATATATTCTACATACAAAACGACTAAAATGAAGTCCGAAAATATTCGAAAAATTTTAAAAATCATCATTATCACATTCTTTATTCAACAATTTATCATAATCAAAACTCAAACAAATACTATATCGTATCCCATTATATGGAGAAAATCGAAACATCAAGTAGCCACTCAATACATCCAGGCTCAAGTTGATATTCATCTTAAATCACCATGCAAATTTCTAAATTCTACATTAGTTTTCCCTCACAACAAAAACATCAAACCGGAAGACGATAAAGAAGAGCGAAGCAGATGTGAAGGAATGTATCAACAAATCGTAATACATGCCTTACAAAAACATTGCACGCCTCTTCATTATCAACAAAAATCTAAACCGAAACGAAGTATTCTCACATTTGCAGGCGGTGTCGTGGCAACAATTATTGTTGTAGCAGCGACAATCGGATACGATGCCTTTATTAAAAGTCAATCAGGAGTGCATGAAACATCTATGTCTGAAGCGGAATTGTACAGAATTGAACACCAAATAAACACAAAAATGGTAAAGGCAATTATCGAACTACAACAAGAAATGGAAAGGTTGAAGCATTTGGCTTATCAACAACAGATTCCGTCACTATTTCTTCCAAAGTTTTACCAATTGGAAACCATAATACATGAAGTATTTTCGGAATCTGTTGACAAACCTATTCCAAAAGCCTTTTTCCAATTATTTAATAATCTGTCAATCTGTGACAATTGTCCACCTGAAAATTGGCATCTGGAAAATTGTAAAATCTATGCGGCAAGAGAACCATCAGATTCTCTGTTACGATTAAATATCAATGCAGTCCAAATCGATAAAAGATATGAAATTCTTCGCGCCGACCCATTTCATTTAATTGTGAATGACAAATTAAATTCATCAAATCTTTGCATTTCAATTTATACGGGTCCATCTTATTCAGTGATGGATAAGGATACAAAATGCGTGAAGAGTATCATGTTTAATCCGTTCGATGACCTTCAGGCTCCATTTATATTCCATTCAATGAAGTGTAACAACGATCTTCAAAAGTTTGGAGCCAAATGGAGAACTATGGATTGCAAACCGAAGGAAGAAATGACTTCGGAAGAGATCGTACAGGTGAAAACTGATGAAAACTTCGTGTATTATTATTGCTTCCTACACAATATCACACTACAACAAAATTTATATCCATGCAAAAATCAAATTTACAAAACTAAATTAGGTCAAAATTTAACCATCAATAATCAAACTATTAAATTCCACAAAATCAAAATCAACTTGATACATAATCTACACGATGAATTTAATGAATTAATCAATTTTCGAATATTCAACAATTTTAATTCATCAGTAAATCTTCAAGATTTAACGACATTGGTCGAACAAGAAGATAAGCTGATCGATAAAATTGTCGTTTCATATTTTTCTCAATATTATGTATACATTATCATCACAATATTAACCATAATCATCTTAATAACAACGATGCTTTTCACTTATTATCGTATAAGAGCCAGATCATATCAACGAGTGGCTCGTGAGCAATATCAATTGGCTCATCTACGTTTGTCTAGATCATGAAATTATTATAGATTATTAGATCAATATTATTATTTGTAAAATCATCTTTAATTTAATAAAATTCTTTATTATAATTTTAACTTGTGTAAATTTATTTATTTTCCATTACCGACTTCTTATCGTGCTTACCGGATATCTGATCAATTTCCGATTAACACATTGGGTCGAAATAAGTTAAAATCAACGCCTCGAAATAGCTGACTGGTCCGCATCGAAAATTTTTGTATTTGACATATATATCAGATACAACATCTTACATCTTATGACATATCTTAGAAGCCGCATTTTTGAAGCTGAAATCATCTCGTCAGATTTTGTTATCTTTGTAATTTTATTTATCATCATTTATAATTTTGTGAATTACTTTATTTTACTTAATAAATTTTCAATTTACTTATAATCTTGTGTGTGATAATTTTTTTTGACTTTAATAAATCGATTTCAAATCTGTTTGACGGAATTTCAACAATTGGATCGAAACAGTTGTTACCGCGCCTGTTGAAATAGTTGCTGATTAACGATAATTTTGGTACGAAAATTGCCGTATATTACACATATTTTAAATTAAAATTAAAAAATTAACACCTAAAAACAGCAAATTAACTATTTAATATCATTCATTCTATCAAGTTCCATAAGGTTAGAATGGAATTATTCACAAATATTGATACAGACCTCACAGATGCAATTAATAGCAAGATATATTTCGATACAAGACGACGTTGGAATTGCTTTGAATCATTTGGAAAAAATGATTGAGCAAGAAGATCAACTAAAGTGGCTAAAATCACTAGTTCGTATCTCCGATATTATTTAATTTGGACTACTGCCATTGTAATAACTATAGCATTAATTAATAGCAATATGTTATATTTGTTACCAAAAGAAGAAGTCCGTAAGATACCGCACTATGCGTCGAGAAAGGCTGGAAAATGCCTTACGCAGTGAGATGATCGCCATGACAGAGGTATAGGTAAATTGTTATTTAAAATACTTCCTGAATTATATTTTTTTCATATTGTTATTAATCAAAAATTTTATAATTTGATGGAGGGAAAAATCATTCCTGAATTTCATTATAATAACACTGCCGCACATGTAAATTGATTTTTTTTTTGTATTTTTTTTTTT